CTGCAGCATTGGGGCTTACCGATGCACAGATAAGAACACTAGGTCGCTGGAAATCCAATGCATTTCTTAAATATATAAGAATTAATAGTTTCTCAGCCAAAACCTCATCTAAAAAGTAATTTATAAGTCATTGTCGTGCTATCATTGTTTAGCAGAGGCAGCAATTTATAGCATGATACATGTCTTAGAAGTGTTACTTGGGCTATTAACACTTTCTAGCAAGGGCAGAAGTGTTTGAATGTTATATATAGAAGAACGGTTGATACTGTCTAGCATGGGCAGCAGTCTTCAACCGGTCAAAACATTTAATTTTCTAAGTGAGTTAAGATTTACCCACACTTTCTTGCAAGGGCAGAAGTGTATCAATGCCTTAATATAATTATGTTGTGCATACTGTATGGCATGGGCAGCATTGTGTCATTAGTTAATTGTTACTGTTTGTTAACCAAATGAAATTGCTATATTATCTTTATTGATTAGGGCAGTTCAGACTGTCTAGCAAGGGCAGCAGTGCTGAATTTGTCAATTACATTTATAATAAGTACTTATATTWTACTGCAGAAGGAAATTATATATGATTATTTGGTGCTGCTTTTGCCTGGGGTGGGGCTGCATCTCTGCTTTCCAGGGATGCATTTGGCGTTTGTTGCCCTCACCTTTGCTGGGCTAAATTTGAACAGTTATATCAAATTTTATGAAATGATTGTAATTATCTAGATTGAACTTATTAACTCAATAAATCGGCTTTGGGTTTTTAACCCATAGCCCTCATCGTTCAATCTTGTCTATCTTTATCTCGCCCAGTAAACAGAGCTCAGGCTTAGCAGCACTTTGATATATTTTTAGAATTTAAGGGGAAAGTTGGGGGGAGAGCATAAATGGAATATTTGCTGGCGAATAGGATTTTTATGCTCCCCTCCAACTGTTTTGTAATTATTTGATTAATAAGCCATTAAAGATAGGCTAAAATTATARTTACGTAAGAACAGAAGTCACGCGGCAGATGGGCAGCGGTACTCCTTTTGATAGCTGTTGTCATGGGCAACTATCTATCCACGTGATACAACCTCGTGGGATCAGTTGCTTCACGTCCTTGAACAGCTAAGACGTCAGRYTTTTTTTATCTTTARAGGTAAGMTTAATATGGCCTTAGGAGTGCCAAATATTCTTATTTTAGGTCATTCTTTTGTCCGTAGACTGAAAGATGACTTGTTTATGAATTTTGATCGACGGGCTGAGTCGAATTTTGGACTTTTAGGCAGTGCTAAAGTTCATATGTTCGGGGTCGGGGGACGCACTGTTTCGTCTCTCAAAAAACACGACCTTCGTGTCATTTCCCGTATTGCTCCTGAGGCAATTWTTCTCGAGATAGGTACTAATGACCTTTCTCAGTGCGGTCCCGAGGTTGTGGGCTCTGAAATCGAAGATTTCGTTTGTTTTCTTYGTAGAGAATTTGGGGTCCGTATTGTTTGTGTTTGTCACGTTATCCCACGTGGCGGACCTTTTGCCGAGCCATTCAATGGGAAGGTCCGTACTCTTCACAGGGTTTTACAGGCTCTTCTCGAGCCGCTTCCTGGGGTCTTTAGTTGGTTTCATAAGGGTCTTTCTAATCCCGTTCGTGAAGTTTTATTACCTGACGGAGTTCACGTCAATAAGTTAGGGCAATACTTGTTGTATCGCAGTTATAGGGGCGCCATTTTGAAAGTTCTGACGATGCTTTGAGTTGATCATCTTTTGTCCCTAATTCTTTTAGTAGCAATATTTTATTTTACTTTCTCGCGTATTTAGCTTTTCRAATTAGCAATTTCTTTGTCCATGAATTATATTTTATTGTTTTGTTTTTTGATTGATGCTCAGCACTCAACGATGTCGATATCTCTTGTTGCTCGATTCTTAGATTAATTTTCTTTCAGTTATTTCTTGATTGTTTGATTTGCGTTATATTTAAGGCTGTTTTCGTTTTTAAATTCGTATTTGGAGTATTTCAATGGAGGCTGCAATCCTTTGTATGTGAACGGGGAGCTTAAAACTCCCTTGTTGTATTTTGGGGCTTAACTCCTCAATTTTAACACAGAATGGGGGCTTCACTCCCTCTATTTTTTGTTGACATTTGGGGCTTAATTCCTCAACTTGTATGTGAACGGGGAGCTTAAAACTCCCTTGTTATATTTTGGGGCTTAACTCCTCAATTTTAACACAGAATGGGGGCTTCACTCCCTCTATTTTTGTTGACATTTGGGGGCTTAATTCCTCAACTTGTATGTGAA